TTTTTTTTTTTTTGAGATGGAGTCTTACTCTATCGCCTAGGCTGCAGTGCAGTGGCACGATCTTGACTCACTGCAACCTCCACCTCCCAGGTTCAAGCGACTCTCCTGCCTCAGCCTCCCGAGTACCTGGGATTACAGGCACCCACCACCATGCCCAACTAATTTTTTGTATTTTTAGCAGAGATGGGGTTTCACCATATTGGCCAGACTGGTTTTGAACTCCTGACCTCAGGTGATCCCCTCGGCCTCCCAAAGTGCTGAGATTACAGGCATGTGCCACCACATCCGGCCTCCTGCTTTACATTCTTTCTTGGAATAACCACATTAAGGATATTTGCGTTTTCTGCTCTTGGCCTTGAAATGGACACTTTTTGATGAGGGCTAATCATTTCACCTAAACAGGGCAGAAAATGAGATTTGTTGAGAACCTACCTTGGGCCAGGTGTGTCCTTGATGATTTCCATAGGTGGTCTCATTTAATCCTCCTTACCTTCTTGAAGCTCGTGGTGTTATTTCCCCTTAAAAGTGAGGGAGCTTAGGCTTAGGAAGACCTAGGGGCCTATAACTTAGAAGTAACTGGGATTCAAACCCAGAGTTCATGTCTTTCCCCTGCAGCATGCCCCAGCACTCCTCCTTCATTCGTTCCCAAATTTTATAAGTGCCGCTGTATGCTCTAGTCACTAAGGATCCAAGAGAAAGTACGAGACACTGTCCCAGTCCTCATGGCATTTATAGTCATGAGCCTGTGTGTGTTTTATTTCATTATATCAGCCTTTGTCTATATGCCTAAGCTCTCTATGCCCTGGTTTCAATCTGTAGACAAAAGGCTAACATATTAGGAATTCTATTTTGCACCCTTCACAAAAAGGTAGCTAAACATGAAACATTCGGTTAATCAAAATCAAGTCATTCATATGTATAGGTCTCCCTGCTTGTTTTCCTGTGTTACCTGGTGATGACCTTTTGCCCAGCAGACAGGTGAGCAAGGTCATCTTAATGCCACAGTAAAAGGCCTCTCTACTACTCCTAACTTGATGATGACAAAGCGGGTCCTATTATAGTATGCTTTTTTTTTTTTTTTTTTTTTTT